ACTACATTAGGATGAGAAAGTTATGACAGAATACAGATTTTTAGATCAACAGCTCCTTCAATACAGTGCAGCAGTGTCTCTTTGGCTTATTCTGATGTAGCAGACAGAATACTTATTGTAATGATCTTAACTATGGTGATGTCATGTCTAAATATTTTATTTGGCTGTCTGCAGTCAGCATGAGATTTTCCTATCGTTTCTCAAAGGTCACCAAATCCAGGAAGCCATATTCACAATTTCCTCGGGTTTGTAGACAGCCCTGAGAACACGCAGGTCTTTGTGTGTGCTCATGTTCTCGGGATAAAACTCACATTGATGCTGGGAATGGCCTGTTCTTTTGCTAGTATTATGGAATTCGGGCCTCAGGCTGGTTCTTATGGAACAGCATTTTTGCAGAATCACTAGAGCCTTGTAACAGAATGTGAATTAGCATTTTCACAAGGCTATAGAAACAGATACTCTCGATATGTTTGCAAAAATACAGATTTTGTGAAGAGGTTGTGCTACCTTTTTTATTATTTTATTTCTGTCAGTGACATTGCTTTCTAATGTTATATTGTGTTATTCTAACACAGAAAGCTGCAGGTTTGCTGTCAGTCAAAGGCTGAGGCTGAAACAATCAAAGATCAAGATTCACAAAGTCATGTCATTCCAGTTTTACATACACTGACATATGTATACAGTGGTGTGAAAAGCCATTTTGCATGTTTATCACACTTTAATGTTTCAGATTATCATATTTTTTAATATCATGCCGAAGCATCTCAATTGGAGTCAGTTCAGGACTTTGACTAGGCCACTCCAAAGTTTCATTTTTTTTAAACAAATTTAAATATTAGTCAAAGACAAGAAAAAAAAAACACACCATGTGGTTATTTTAGCATTGTCATCTTTGCAAAATTGTTGTAATTCAGCTACATTGTAGGGTTTTTGAGCATGATGAACCACCTTTGTAAGGTCATGCCACAGCATTCAGATTAAGACTTTGACTAGGCCAATTCAAAGTTGTCGTCTGCCTATTTTTTAAACAAATTAAAATATTAGTCAACGACTAGGAAAACAGATCATGCCATTTTGAACAAGGTTTTAATTGTTAAGAAAAAACTAAATACAAGACTACATAGCCTTGTTTAAAAAATTGTTTGGCCCTTAAACCTAATAAGCGGTTGGGCCACCCTTAGCAGCAACAATTGCAATCAAGTGTTTTTAATAACTTGCAATGAGTCTGTGACTGCACCAATGAGGAATTTTGGCCCAGTTATCTTTGCAGATTTGTTGTAATACAGCGACATTGTAGGTTTTTTTTAAGCATGAACGTTCTTTTTAATGTTATGCATCTCAATTGGATTCAGTTCAGGTCTTTGACTAGGCCACTCCAAAGCCTTCATTTTGTTTTTCTTGTTTTAAAGTGGATTGCTGGTGTGCTTTGAATCATTGTCTTACTGCAGAACTCAGGTTAGCTTCAGGTCACTAACAGATGGCTGGTCATTCTCTTCAATATATTTTGTTACACAGCAGAATTCATGGTTCAATTTTTCAGAGCAAGTGTTGCAGGTCCTGTAGTTACAAAACAGCCCCACACCATTTCACTACCACCACCACATTTTGCTGTTGGTGTGAAAAGACTAGAAAGAACACATCATGCCATTTTGAAATGAAGGTTTTTATTGTTTAAGAATAAACTAAATTCAAGACTACACAGCTCTGTGTGAAACAGTGTTTGCTCCTTAAACCTAATAAGCAGTTGGGCCACCCTTAGCAGCAACAACTGCAATCAAGCGTTTTTAATAACTTGCAAAAAGTTTATTACAGCACTGTGGAGGACTTTTAGCCCAGTCATCTTTGCAGATTAGTTGTAATTCAGCCACATTGTAGGGTTTTTTTTTAACATGAACTGCCTTTTTAAGGTCATGCCACAGCATCTCAATTGGATTCAGGTCAGGACTTTGACTAGGCCATTCCAAACACTTTTTTTTCAGCCATTCAGTAGTGCACTTGTTGGAGGGCTTTGGATTATTGTCCTGTTGTAGAGCCAAAAGTTACTAAAAGATATTCTCCTTTAGATTATTTTGGTACACAGCAGAATTCATGGTTCCGTTCATCACAGCAATTTTCCAGAAGCTGCTTCCTGAAGCAGCAAAACAGCCCTAGACCATCATACTACCACCACCACAATTTGCTGTTGGTATGATGTTCTTTTTCTGAAATGCGGTGTTACTTTTCCACCACACATATGGGACACACACCTTCCAAAAGTTCAGCTTTTGTTTTGTAAATTGTAAATGTTTTGTAAGTATTTTTCTAAGAGTTTTGGGGATCATTACTGTGTCTTCTGGCAAATCTGAGATGAGCCTTTATGTCCTTTTTACCTAGCAGTGGTTTTCATCTTGGAACCAGTCTTTTTCTTAAGGTGGAGTCATGAACACTCACCTTAACTGAGGCAAATGAGGCCTGCAGTTGTTAGGATGTTGTTGAGGGCTCTTTTGTAACTTCTGAATGAGTTGTTGCTTTCACTGTGGTTTGCTGCAGTCCAGAAACTTTCATACGCTTTTGCAGACTGCTATGGTTTATTTATGTTCTTTGGGTCTCGGCATGATGTCTATCTTTTGAGGATCTTTTGGTCTACTTCATTTTGTCAGGCAGGTGCCATTTATAATTGTGAACAGGTTTAGCAGTAATTAGGCCTGGGTGTAGCTAGGGAAATGGAACTCAAGTTTGTTAAACCAGAGTTATGTTTCAACATGGGGTCAAACACTTTTTTTTCACACAGAGTGAAGTAATTTTAGATTTAGCTTTCCCTTAACAATAAAAGCCCTTATTTAAAAACTGCATGACATGTTTACTTTTGCTATGTTTTGCTAATATTTTAATATTTTTGATGAGCTGAAGCATTAAAGTGACAAACTTAGAAAAAATAAATAAATCAGTTAGCAGTCAAACACTTTTTTTTACACACATGTGTTGTGCTTTACCAGTTGATAAATCCTCTTGATGGTCTAGATTTTAAACTTCTTAAACCCTGTGATAGTTATTTAACACTTAGTGAGCTGTCTATCAGTATGGAAACAACATATGTTGAGTTCTATTATGTAAACAAATATTTCTGTAATTAAACAATATTTTATTTTGAAACTTTGAGGATTCCGCTGTCCACGACCTATTATGATCAGATGCAGGATACATTCAGCGTGGGAACTCTCACAGTGCATTATAGGTATTTTCTCTTGAGTGTACATTGGATGTACACTCCTTATTGCTGTGCATTGTGGGATTGATTAAGTATCTTGCATTGACATACATACTCTAATTTACAAGGAATTTTTGTCCAGGAATTTATTTGTGTCAGCTGTGCTCCTTGGACAAGCAGGTATTCAGCGTCATGTCACATTAAATGTAAAAACACGGAGCTGTTTAGTCACTGCGTGCATTTATGTGCTGTCAGTCAGAGGAATGCACAAAGTACTTCAGTGGTGCTTTCGAGTTCAAAGATGAACACATTCGGAAAAAATATTGGTGAATTCTCAGTTGTTTGCAACAGATTTCTTTATGTAGATAAAAAGTGAGCATTCCTGTTAATATTCAATGAATTTATTTGATTAGGAGGTCTTATTTCTCTGATCTCTCGATCTGTTTATCTGTTTCTTTATACTGTTACACTGAAAAAAAATGATGTCCACAAAATTGTTGCTAAAATATGTTGAATTTAAACAAACAAATTAAATTTAGTAATGTTCAACTTCATTTGTTTGTTTAAATTCAGCCCAAATAAATCGTTTACAACCACTAAAGTTAAAAAAGTGTAAATCCAAGGGATCATTTTTGAATCATTGTTTTCTATGTATATACTTTACATGATAAACTGGAAAAAAACTTGCGTGAATGCAGAATTCTAAAATCAACAGGGCACAGGAAGGGAAGATATAAATGAAATATGGGTAAATCAAACAAATACACAAGTACAGTTACATTGGAATGGTCTTCAAGCAGTCTGTGTTGCTCTCTATAGCAATGATGCAGCAATGATGCATATTTATCCTTTATAGGCTTTAGCATCACAAATCACATGTCCAGGTACCTTGAAAAATATATTTAAAAATGTTTTAAAATTTGTTTTTTCTAAATGTTTAAGTGACAAAGAAAAAAACACCTATTAGCAAGAATGCTGATTTTTAATATGTCAGCTGTTAGCAAAAGTAGCCTTTAGCATCACAAATCACAACAAGCTCCAACCTATTCAGCATTTACCTTGAAACATTTATTTAGAGATGTTCTAGAATTTGTGTTTTTTAAGTGTTTAAGTGGCAAACAAGCAAAAAGAAAAAAAAATCTGTTGTCATAAGCAAAAATAAATTTTTATAATGTCAGCTGTTAGAAAACATAGCCTTTAGCATCGCATATCACAACATGTTCAAATTATGCAGTATTTACCTTAAAACATGTATTTAAAATGTTTTAGAATTTGTTTTCTAAAAGTTTAAGTGACAAAGAGAAAAAAATCTAATTAGCAAGAATGCATATTTTTTCAGCTGTTAGCATACATAGCCTTTAGCATTGTCAAAACCAGTGGATGCCTTCATCATGTGGACATTCTATGTTGTAACTATGTTATCTCTTTTTGTTGTTGTTGTTGTTGAGATAAACAGATATGTGAATGACTCGGTTATTTATTTAAATAGCATACGAGTGATTGCCAACATGTGCACTGCATTACTAGGAGGTAAATAAGGTCTGTATAGTGGTAAATGGCATGACATCCATGCACTAGGGAGAATCCACTCCTTTAAAGTGTAAAGTTGTTTTTTTTAATTTTCATTTCTGTCCACTGATCAGCTCTTCAGCAAGCAGCGGTTGTGGTACATGTGTGTGTTTTGCAGAATGAAGCCATTAAATAAAGCTTCTGTTCTTGCTCATGTGACACTAGAGGGTTTAGCTGTTCTCAGAACAGCTGAGGATATAGACAAACAGTTCTCACCGCTGACTAGAGCATCAGCCATTCGGAAGAGCGTCTCCCAGACTCAGTTGTCAATGTATATCCTTCTGGGATCAGGGAACCAATCAGATGCATTGAACAATCCCTAGCATGGTTTATAGCTTTGGCAGAAGTAGGACGGACGTCATTTTTTTTTTTCCTTCAGTATGAAATAGAGCAGTTTGGGCTTTAAACATGAACCAGGAGTTGGATTTCATGTTTATTAAAGTAAGTACTGGATTTTATTTGCTTGTTGGAATCGTGTTATTTTAGTATCAACTGTAGTATTGGTTACTAAAATATTGGTTGTCTAAATTGTTTGTTGTAGTAGTTTGAGCATTGTTGTGTTGTTGCAAAAAACCTGCATGAAAGATAAGCTACCTTCCGTTACATTCTGGTTTGAACTGGCACAAATCAAGCTTTTTATTTCATTGCTTCTGCATTTGGTGTCATCTGTATAGCGGTTCAGATTCCTTATGGATTGTTCACAGCTTAGTAAATACCTTGTATGTTGCTATTAAGGGTGTGCAAATCAGATTTATCAGTCAGAATACCAATAACAACAAGAATGCAAAAAACAATGGTTCAAACATTCTATATTAATGTTTTTGACATTTGACATCGCCTGCATATTAAAGGGATAGTTCACCTTAAAATTAATTTTTACTCACCATTTACTCACCCTTGACTTCCAAACCTCTATGAGTTCCTTTTTTCTGTTGAACACAATATAGGATATTTGAAATTAAGCTGAAAACCTGTGACGTTTGACTTTGTTTGTAGGAAGAACAAATAGTATGGTTTTAGGTTTTCAGCTTTCTTCAAAAATCTTTTTTCTTTTGTTTCTACAAAAGAAATAAATTAAAAAGAGGGAATTAATGGTGACAGAATTATCAGTTTTGGGTGAAGTATCACTTTAATATGCCTTTATTTTTTATGCACATAATATATTAATATAAAGCCTCAAGAACTTGTTGTTTTAGAACAGTGGTTCTCAAACTTTTTTCATCAAGTACCACCTCAGAAAAAATTGTCTCTCCAAGTACCACCAAAATGAGCAGTATTGAAATACAGTAGCGTAGTAGGCCCAGTAAAGCAGCTACAACTCTGCACAGTTAAAAAAACGTGGCAGATTACCTCAGAAATATAGGCTATATGTCATATATAACATGTTATATACATAATTTTTGATACATTTTTAAATGTGTGTAGCATGTACATGACATATTTAATTCCTCCGCGTACCACTAGAAGGAAGCTTGCGTACCACTAGTGGTACACGTACCACAGTTTGAGAACCACTGTTTTAGAACAAGTAAACAACCAAATTTAAAAGCAACTACATTTAACCCTTTCCACCTCCCCACAAAAAACCTTAGGCCCGAATTGCTCCAAATGCATTTTTATGGTGTTTCAATTGTTGTCTATTAGCAATGAGGGTTTTGCGTGCTGTGTATGTGCAACGGGCATTTTACTATCCACATTTTACTGCCTGCTGTGCCATGCATATTTGCAGATGCGTTCTGAATGCCTGCAATTAAAAAACAGTCAACTATGAGTGAAAAATGAGCATGACTTCATGCACTGAAGCACTAAGACAATTGATTCAGTGGCAACATAAAAAGCGCAGCAAACTGTTCTTTTCTAAAAGAAGCCAACAATCAGTGCACCTCATGTTTTTAGATATGAAAAAAAAAAAACGTTTAATGTGATTGGGTCCTTTAGCTGTTTAAATTTGATAAAATCTTTCCCAGAGATGTGTTGCTGTTGGAAGGCCATCCGCTGCGTAAAAACTTGCTGGATAAACAGACTAAGCCGACAAGAAAATGAATGAATGAATGAATTTGATAAAATGATTCAATATAAAATTAAAATTTGTAATTGTAAAGTTCACAAAATAAAACAATATATTGGGCATTATTAATAATATATGGGCTTTTTGTCATAGAGTTGGATTTTATTGGAGGGTTGTAGGTTCAAGTCCCAGCACTGGCAGCAATTGTGCACAATGCATTGTGTTCACAATGTGTGTGTGTGTGTGTTTGTGTGCACTTGAATGGGTTAAATTTAGAGCACAAATTCTGAGTATGGATCATCATACTTAGCCACGTCACAACTTTTACTTTCACTTAATTTATAATATACATTGTAAAAATTGTTGGGTTCCACACAATAAATTTGTGTTGAGACAATATGAAGCAATTAAGTTAGTCTATTAGTTTTTACAAATTTAAGTAGATTGATCTAGGGTTGTGCCGATAGACGATGCCATCGTCCATCACCAATGGCCGACAAACTTCACAATGCTGAGACGGCATAGCGATCCATCGCCCCGCCCCACATTTATATTGATATTTAACTTATTATTTGTATGTCATCTTAATAGCAATAACGGTCTTTTCATGAGCTGTGTTAAATGTTACATATAGCTGCCACTTGCACGGCTGACAGCATCATGAGGATTAAATGAAGGATTATACAGCACCTCTCACGCTTAAAATGTGTAGATTCAGTGGCAATCGCTGTTACCTGTAAACCCCGTCCCACAGACTTTACAGTGAATGACTTTAGTCATTTTCATAGCGGACTTGAAGCCACTGTAAGTCTTTTATTCACTCTTGGAAAAGTGTAAATGGTGGATTAACATTCAGCATATGATCACTAATAAGATGTTCCATTATTAGTGACTTAAGGTAAATCTGCCAGTGTTATTTTCATTCTCTCATCTTCAGTGCTTCACATTTTTGTGGTTGTAGCTCCTGTCATCTGAAGGCAGAAGGCATTGACTGAGGGATTGACAGCTGATATTAACCAATCGTTCACGTTCAGTTCTAGAGCAGTGAGCCAATAAGAAGAGCACAAAGGCGGGGCAAGCATTGCAGGCTTTTTTACTTCAGCAAGTTCACATAACAACTGTTTTAATCTGTTCCTAAGTGCTGCGTTTGGCGTTTTTAGGTGCAAAGATGCTTTCTGCATAAATGCCTCCTAAATCCTCGCACGCGGTGAGGATTTTGCAGTGAAAACAATGAAAATGTATGCACTACAGTGAACTCCAACCAAACTCTCATCTCCTCCACCAGCTGTGGGAAAAGCCATTAGAACGATTTATGCAAGAAAAAAAAAGTGATTGACAGGTGGTCATTTGTTTGTAATTTTATTTTCGGTTTGGTTACCATGTGGGTCAGGTAGTGAAAATGGTTGGCTAAAATTCATTAATTTGTTATGAATTAATTGATATTTAACAACCACCCCACCCCCTGCCTATGACGACGATGGCATCATCCATCGCGATGTTTCACATTAGACATCGTACGATGCCAAATTGGTCAACACCGCCCAACCCTAGATTGAACATAAAACAATTAAGTTGTCCTAAAAAAAAACCCTTTCAAGAGTTGTGTTATTTTAGTTTATTTTAAATACGTAGTTTGAACAAACAGCAAACATCATTCCATGTTTAAGTCATGTTACATAGCTACAGATCACATAAACTAACAATTTAAAGCTTGACTTTTCTTGTTATGTGTGTGTGTGTGTGTGTGTGTGTGTTTGTGTGTATGTGTTTTTGTGTCATATCAGGACACAAATCTGTATAATGACATGGGTATGACACAGGTATTACAAAAAAGAGGTGAAATATGAGGACATTGGTGACGTCTTCATTTCTCAAAAAGCTTATAAATCCTACAGGATGCGTTTAATCAGAGAGTACAGCTGCACACAGTCTCCTGTGATGGTTGGTTTTTGGGGTTGGGTGGGGTGAGGGCAATATAACATACGTTTTGAACAGTATAAAATAAATGGAAACCTATATAATGTACCCACTTTTCACAAAAACAAACGTTTGTGTGTGTGTGTTTGTGTGTGTGTGTATTTTATATGCTTTTTATATATATTCTTGCACAATATGCTAAAGTGATTATTTTGAGACAGCCGTTTTTCTCAGGCCATGATGTCCATCATGGCAATCGCTATATTCTTGATTGTGCACTGCTTTGGTTTCCAGCTCTTTTCACTGTTCAGCAAATTTGGCCGTCTACTATGGCAGCCTGTTTTCCAACTTATACGACCTTATAGATCATTTATCACTTTCCTGAAATACAACCCATAAGAGTGTTTTCTAAAAAAGCACTCCTACTGCAAGTTAGACATAATTCATTGACCCTTTCATCTGCGTGATAATTTGAGAATTGCGAAGCTCGATTGGTAGAGCATTGCATCATAGTATTGCAACAATCATGGGTTCAGTCACAGAGGAGACATACAGTAGTACAATGTGTACCTTGTATAGACTGTCAGCTGAGATCCAGAGCCTCTATCAAATGTAGGGGTCAATTTTGTGAATTGGAAATGGCAAAATTTGTCGTTAAGGGACCATCTAATAAGTCTCAAGTGACCATGTGTAATTTTGTGACAGAACATGCAACATGACACTATCATCATGTCCTGTATATCCATCAGAAATGTCAAGGACTTGATTAAAAAAATCCACCCTGGTCCATATTTTTGAAAGTCTCCAAATTGGGTTTTGGATAATTAAAAAACATGTTTGCATAATAAAATAAACATTTATAACAAAAGACAAAAAAATATTGCACATAAATTAATATGTAATATAAATGAGGTAAAAAATGTTGAGTTCCACACAATCAATTTGTGTTGGGACGACATGAAATAATTAAGTTAGTTTAGCTTATTAGTTTTTAAGTTTAAGTGGATTGAAGAAATCAATTAAGTATTCCCCTCAAAACCTCTAGAGTTGTGTTTTTTTAGCTTATTTTAAATATATAGTTGAGACAAGAAGCAAATGTAATTGTTTGAGTGGGTCAAAGACTTAATGAATCACTAATAAATACAAAATATTTAACAGTTGCTTATCAGAACAGTGCTCTGCTCAGTGAAGAATTAGAAATGGGATCTCATATAATGCCATTTTATTGTCTGTGTGTGAATTTTGCATTTCCATTAAATGTGATTGAATTAAATATTTCGTCGTTGCGTTTGGATGAGATCCTGTCTTTTGCAGTGGTAAATGATCAGGATGCGTGTTTACACTAGGGATGATCAAAATAACCGATTCACTGTTATCCGAAAGGGTGTGTTTTTATCCGATTAATGGTATCAGTTATCAGTTCGCTGCATAAATGTGCAACACATATTTGTTAACTTGCGGGATGGTAACATGTGCAACCACACGTACCAACAAACCTATTTTGCCAAAGAAGCAA